GTGAGCCAATCCCTCTAAAGTCCTGTGCTGTGTGTTTCTATTTCTCCCGTTCTGCAGGTGGTGACGGCCATCAATGCAGAGCTGCTCCACAGGACCGTTCGCCTCGGAGACCTGCAGAACATCCTGGCTGGATTTGCGGGGCTGGGGTTCCCAAACTGCGGTGGAGCACTGGACGGGACCCACATCCCTATCCGTGCCCCGCCCCATCGAGCGGCACAGTACATCAATAGGAAGGGCTACTTCTCTATGGTGCTGCAGGCTCTGGTCGACCACAGAGGACAGTTCACGGATGTTTGTTTCGGGTGGTCAGGCCATGCACACGATGCCCGTGTGTTCAGGAACTCCTACCTGTACCGCAGGCTTCAGACTGGGGCATTCTTCCCAGAGAGGAACCTGGCTGTCGGGGATGTGCAGATGCCTACGTGCATTGTGGCCGATGCAGCCTATCCCCTTATGCCCTGGCTCATGAAGCCCTACACCGGCCACCTGGACGTGAGCAGGGAAGGTTTAGGTGCCTGCTGACGCGGCTGGACATGGGAGAACACAACATCCCTGATGTGGTTGCAGCATGCTGTGTGCTGCACAACCTCGTAGAGAGGAAATGGGAGGCCTTCCTCCCTGCATGGATGACACAGATGGAGATGGAGGGGAGGCAGTTTGGGCAGCCCCGGACAGCTGCCACCCGGCAAGCCCACCAGCTGGGCCTGCGCATTCGGGAAGCCCTGAGGGAGCAATTCTCACAGGGAGGCCCCTGATTGTCCCCAGGGACTTCCACATGTAGGATTGCCCCATATCCCTGGTGCCTTCCTCCCTGCAACCCCTCCCTGCCCCACATTCACCCATTCTACTCAGTCCCCACGCACTGAGAATGTAGACAGGTGATGTTGAAAAAAATACTCAGTCCCCACTCACTGAGAATGGAGACAGGTGATGTTGAAAAATAGAGTACACTTTATTTAACTGTTTTTTTGTAACAATTGAAAATAAATAACTCTTCAATTCAGAGACAAAATAAAAATGCTTGCTATAGAAAATAAAGTGCTTAAAAAAATGCGTCACTGGTGGGAAGGGGGAATGTGAACTTGGAATGGGGGAGGGAGGCTCATGGCTGAGGGGGCTGCCTGGAGGCCGAGTTCCTCCTCTTTTGGCTCTGGCGGCCTTGTCGCGCCCAGCTGCGCGTGCAGGATGCCACAGAAGGGGGCTGAGCAGGAGGTGGGGCTGGGGCTGTGGCTGAGGAGGGGGCAGGAGCAGAGGAAAGGGCAGGCTGAGGAGGGGGGGCAGGAGCAGGCAAAGGACCAGGGAAGGGCATGGCCCCCTGGATGGCAGCACAGATGTCCCTGCGCTGCTGCCTAAATTCTAGCAGCAACTGCCACCGCCACTCGGCATCTGCCTTCA